TGTATTCGCTTCTACTGCTGCATCCCTTTGGATTCAAAGAGAAGATACTTCAGTGACCCATGGGCCCCTGCAGAGCAGCTGCCAGTAACTGTTTCACCAAATGTCTCTTGTCCAGCTTTATGCTGCAGCCCCAGAAGGGGGCCATGCAATCCTGGGAAAAGACATAGCTGCTTTAAGGGATTGCCAACGGGGACCATGAAGTTCTCCCTGTGCCCCAGAAGCATCTTTTTCCTATTGAATCCAAAGTAGTGCCCAGCCCTATCAGTTAATGATACAAATGTTTACAAAAAGTCAACATGTGAATAAATGCTTAAAAAAAACCAAGCACAGCAAGAAAGAGGAGATCAAACCCCAAGGCTGTCAAGTCAAGACTAGCCCACTGTCCTTTAATAGGGTACCTAAAAGTTTGAAGATTCCTACAAGCATCTCATTCTAGTAAGAAAAAACACACCCAGTATATTTAACCAGGGGTCTTAAACTGGGTCATGAACCCCCAGCAGTTGTGCGGGGGTCATAACATTTTTTTAAGCTGATCAAACTTGCCCAGGCAAAGTGAGAGCACTATCAAAACCTACTCCTGCCTTGCCTCTGCAAGGCAATATCAGGCTTACCCAGCAAAGTCCAGCATGAGTTTTGAGAGATGACTAAAACACTGGATCTAGCCATTTGTCAGAGCTAACTATGATGATGATGATGATGATGATGATGATGATGATGATGATGAAATATTATTATTATATTATTATGATTTCTGATGTAGCATGTAAAAATATGTCCATACCCTCCAGACTGCTGGGGAAGGTGTTCGTAAAGTTAATGACTAATCAGCTGATACTGCTAAGCTAAATCAAGAAAGTATGATGAAAATACTTTGAGGAAGTAGTGTAGTTGTTTCTTGAACTACTTTAATCCAAATGATATCATTCATTTTATCCACAATTTGTTCATTTATCATTTTAGGAGATCATGCTATCACAAAATTTGAGAACTCCTGCATTAAGCTATTATGGCATTTAATCTACATGTGGCTTTTTAAAACGTTTCTATAAACGGCCAAGAATCCTTTGGGAGTTAGTGGTATAGAAGTGATGTAAATAATAAATAATTCTACTAAGATACATAAATTCATCCACTTACTCTAGTTTTTCTTCACTTGTATATAACTTACAATAGTTTACTCCCTTTTCCCTGCCAAACTCAGCTATTGGTCTTTGATATGATAATTTTCAGATCCATACTCCTCATTGCATTATACAGTCTACTGAATTTTCAGTGCAGATTACTTGGGTTCTCGGCTAACAACACAGCATCAACTGCATACTTCAGTACACCTACATTCACACGCCTCCAAACACCTCTCGACTGTTACTACAAGCATTCCTCATAAATTTATCCATAAATATGTTAAACCATCAAAGAGAAATCACAATCCTTGTCTTACTCCCTGTTCAATATTGAACCATTTCTAATAATTCCATTTATACCATTTATAAAAGCACTACATTATGAAAGCATTCAACAACCAAACTTCAATTCCATTCTCATGCAAAATATTGTATAATTCAAGTCTATTCACTTTATTATATGGCTTCTCTAAACCAATTGTACAATAAACTTTCATATATTTTTCAGTTACCTGCTGGAGAGCAAAAATCTGGTTTGAAAACCTCCTGCCTGAAGTTCCATTCCCCAAATGTTGCTCATTGCAATTTTTCATACCATTTCAGTCTCTTCTTAACTGTCAGGTTCAGCCCAAAGAACTCCACGAGACAGTACAGATATAGTTCTGTTGCATTTATTAGCTTCCACCTCAAAGACAGAAATCTCTCCAGACTGAATCTAAACTCCCAAGCCAGCAAGCCAAAACACCGTGAATTCCTTAGGGTGGCGCCAGTCTCATCTTCTTAACCTTCCCGCACTCCTGTTGGGAGCTAAGGAAATGCTTATCTCCCCGAGCACGGCCTTCATCAAACCATTCCATCACATTAACAAACTAAATCTCCTGCAGTTTCTGTATGCATTCTTCCTACCTATAGGTTAGTAGGGGGCAACAGTACAGGTAGTCCTTCGGTTACGACGACAGTTGGAACGAGGATTTCATCACTTTTATTTTTAACTACATTCACAGTGTTGCAGGAAACGACTTCTTTAGTCCACCTTATTTACTTCCAATGCTAACCATTTCTTGCTCTCTTTGACTGTATTAGCCAAAGAGAGTCTGACTAGACATGGGTAAGAGCCCATATTAGGGATTACTTCATGGCAATAAGGGTGGCGAAACATTTCTTTTTCTTGCTCTTACTGCATCCCCTAATAGCTACCCAGCAACTCTGTTTAGGGTGAACCAGTCCCTATTGGATAGGGAGGGCCCCTCAGAACATTGCCAGGCCATTGTGAGGATTATTCAGGCCATCTTGCCGATAAAGTCACTCAAATTCACTCCTTGGACTCTGGGCAAGGCAGACTCAGGTGCCTGGGGCATGGTCTGGAGGCGTGATCTGGGATGAGTTTGAGCCAGTGACTCCTGAGGAAATGGACGGGGCTCTCTGTGCTGTCAGCTCAGCCACCTGTTTACTGGATCTGGGTCCCTCCTCGGTCATGAAAGTAGCCAAGGAGATGACCCACAGTTGATTTCATGCTGTAGTATCAGCCACCTTGATGGTGGAGGTGGTGCCCCAGCCTTGAAAAAGGCAGTGGTTTGCCCCCTCCTCAAGAGGCCATTCTTGGACACAATGGTCTTCAATGCCTATCGACCACCTCACCTTCCTTTTTTGGGGAAGGCTGTTGAGAAGGTTGGTCTGCAGCTGATGAGAACCCTGGAGGATATGGATTATCTAGACTCATTCAGCCAGGTTTCAGGCTGGGATTTAGTACTGAGACAGCTTTGGTCGTGCTTGTTGATAACCGGTGGCAGAGCCAGGATGGTGGTGGTGCACCCCATCTTGTACTTCTTGATCTCTTAGTGGCTTTTGATACTGTTGACCACTGTATCCTTCTGAGTTTTGTTGGTTGGGGATTGGGGGCATCATTTTACAGTGATTGTCTTCCTTTCTCCAGGGCCAATTCCAGTTGGTGTTGGTTGGCAAAGAGAGATTGTCCCCGAGGCCCCTCATTTGTTGTATTCTCTCTCCCCTCCTTTTCAA